TTTTACCTTACGAACTTTTCTTCTTTTTGCCATATTTGTTACACTTAGCATACAGGTTTGAAAACTGGTTTTAAAGAATCTGCGACTCCGCGTAAGTATATTCGCGTAACATATAAATGATCAGCGATCACAAAAATTAAGTCGGAAATTTTTTTAAAATTAAACTACCCGAAAATAAGCAACACTATAGTAAAAATAGGTTGCTTATTTTCGGAAGAATACGGTATTAGTCGCGATGGATTCAGGAAAGTATATTACATGAAAATACTTATGAGTAGACCTCATATGAAAATTAACATTAAAGAGGAACTCGATGGTTTATATTTGAGCACAGAAGATAATATTAAGGAATATATTGTTGAGAATCCTAGCGACAATCATATTCACACCATTGTGAAACCACCTCCGCCCGCCACCACTGCTAAGTATCTCCCAATGGTTTACCCTCTCAAATTTGCGGATCTTTTATTAATCAGCTTGTTTCTCTGTTTCCATTTTTTCACATTCTCCCACAAAGAACCACCAATGAAAAAAAGGCGCCCTTTGGAAAGAGGAATATCTGTTATTCAAAGTAATAATGAGGTTCAACAGTTCCCTGTGTCGGAATCAATTATGTGTAGACAAAACGTGTTGGTTAACTCGACTTCGGTTAAATAATGGCCAATGTTTCGTATCACGGCCTCGAAAATTTGGCAAATCAATGTTTCTCTAAATGGTTGAATCTTTCTACTTGGTTCAATATAATCTCTTTGAGAATCTGTACAATCGGTTGGTGAGCAATATGGCATCGACACTATGAATGATAGTGTTAAGAGTGCCACTTTTAAGTTAATTCAGTCACTAGCTGACGATAATGAAAATAAGTATGGACAAGTGATAATTCTCATAGACGAATATGATTCACCACTGTTAAATGTCATTAGTATCACGAAAGAAAGCATAAAAATTGCAAATGACAGCCACGGCGTACTAAAGAGTTTTTTTGAAGTAATTAAGGCACTGCAAAGTAAAGTTAAATTTCTTCTCGTAACGGGTATAACAATGTTTGCACATTTAGGTTTATTTCCAGGATTAAATAATCTTAAGGACGTGACATTGAGTAATGAATTATCTGAGACAAACTATTAAATCTCCAAATCAGATCGCTATAATGATGTTTCAGAAAAAATACAATGGTTACTCCTGGGACGGCAACATTAAAGTGTATAATCCATATAGCATTTTGCAGTTTTTTCGAGAATTTTGAATATGAAAATTTTTGGATTCAAAAAGGGAAAACCGAATTTTTAGCTAGATTGATTGGTACGGAGCATGTCATAGATCAAATCACGATAGAGAAGAGATTAGTTGTACCTGACCTTCCCGTTTCATTACTATTCCAAACTGGCTATTTAACTATCAAACAACAGAAAATAGATGATGATGACGAACAGAGTTTAGTTCTCGAAATTCCAAATGCCGAAGTGAAAGAGGCGAACTCTGGGTTCTTGGATAGAGGAGAGTCAAAATTCTATAATCGATTATTGTAGGACATATTCATCGACCATTAATAGCAGTAATGAAAGGTAATTCATTGATAAAATATATGTTTCGTATTTGCTTGAATAATAAAACAACTTTGATGTAAAATTCTTAAATGATAAAATGATTTCATTACATAAGTTCGAGATTCAAATTTTACTTGATATCAAAGGATATCAAAAAACAAAAAGTGGTTTATGAGTTGATGTAAAATCTAAATAAAAAAAAAAGTAAGCGATAACTTTAAAAATTTACCCTTTCCGACGAACTTTATTTATAATTAATTCAAAACTGGATTTCCAATACCTGGTATACGGGTTGGGTTTTGAAATTTGGTTCATTCTTAATTTTTCTTTTTTTTGGAAAATTTTTTAATCCGGATCCAAATTTACAAAAAAATGTAATGGTTTATTTATATGAAAACGAAAAATTGTTATTATTAACGTTAGTTTCTCCCTATTTAAAATTAACCGATTTATGACAGAAGACCGAAAATATAGTATGATTAATTCCGGGAGAATTTAAACTAAAAAAAAAAAATTATTATTTATAATATTAAATCTATAAAATTATTATACATATACAGGGAATTAGTTGGATTCATTATCCTTATATTTCAACCACTTTTTATCAATTCTCAACGCTTGCCAAACGCCATCAATTATCGATCTTGGTCCTCCGACAAACAAATGTTTTTCATTTTCTAACATTTGTGATTTGATGTTGCATAAGACACGAAATGCAATGACCCAACTAACTTGCCCATCTGGTTTTTTATTTACAGATGAAAGGTATAAAGAGGCAGCTTTCAATTGTAACTCGAATATGGATAGTGGATCAACTTCACTTTCGACAACATCAGATCGTCTACTTTTCAAAAATTTAAAAATATCGCTCTTATATTTCTCAACCGGCGGTGTATTTAAAAATTTTGTTAAGCATTCATGATCTATGCTTCTAAACTCTTCACTCAAATTAGATGCATTTGGATTAATATTTAATTGATTCTTTGATGTTGACGGTTGTTCGCTTTCTTTCCGATCCCGATCTTCAAAGGTTCTAGCGTACTTTCTGTTGTAATGCTGTACTACTTGTAACGCATACATTGAAATCGAATTTAGATCCTCTAGGTATAAATCGTCTTCCATTTGTCTAGCACGAATTAATTCATTATACCAGAAATTGTATATATGTGCATCTGGCTCTGATTTAATTTCTATTACCGTGAATCCCTTATTATTTACTAAACTCATCTCATTTTCAATTGAAACGCATAAAACATCCATTACATCTCGAACTCCAAAGTTATTTCCATTGCTTTCTTGTCGTTTCGCTTGAGATCGATTTTTACTTCCCATCCAATGAGGAATGTGAATTTTTTTAAACATCTCACTATCTCTTTGTTGAACACTTTGTTTAAGAGTGAGACCTTGTTTAGTAGCATCGAGAAGTTGTGCGCACATTTGAGCGAGGTAAATTGAATGCTCATTAGAAATTCCGTATTCGGAGGATTGAAGTCTATGCCAATAATCATATAGACCACGTGGCATTTCCAAGTCTTTGAGATAATTGTCTAAGATAATTCCCTGTAATTTGAATTCGATTTGACTCGACTTTGTAGATGTAAGTTCATCGATTGTTTGATTGCTTTCGTCAAAAGCACTTTTAACTCTCGGATCGAGCGGTAAAAGTGGAGAATTTTTATAATGTTTGACGATTTGAGGATCCCAACAGCAGAAAATCTATAAATAAAAATTGTGAGAAAGAGAAGAAAAAATAAATTAACGTTAAACATAATATCAAATTACCTTATCACCATCATAATCTCCTCCACTTATATAGCTTGCTAATGAAAAGTCACCCTTTGAAGCAACGTTTACAGGAAATATCACTACGTTAAAGTAATTACACAGGTGCATATTTTTGACTGCTTTGACTCTAACAAGATCAGAAGGTAAGCAAGATGGATTCCTAGCCAAGATTACTTCATCTTCAATAATTCCAAATGGCAATCCGGTGGATTTATCACGTCCTGCATCGCTGTCTAATTGAATAAAAACTTCACCCGGATTCAAAGTTTTCGTTGGATCAGCGATACACATTAAGACACGAGACAAAGGGATGTCTATTCGATATTTGGTGGAGAGTGACTTTAATTTTGAGGTAAGCACGGATTTTAATTTTTTTGCTAAAAAAGGGCATGTCGAAGGGGTGAATCCTGCTTGTAACATTTGTATGCATTGTTCAGATGGACTATCCGGAAATCCTGACATAGAGTATACATCAGATCCAAACATGAAATCATCATCGTCTGAAAACACTTCCTTGAAATAACCGTTCGAAACCTCCAGTCTCTTTTTCATGATACAGGAGTTATCAGTCACCCATGAAATTAATGTACGTGGATCATCGCAACCGATAACATCGGATTTAATTCTGTCAACGTAATCTTTCATTTTCGTAAGGAAAACCTCAACGGGAACACCACCATGATATAAAACTCTAATGAATTGACTGTTTAAAGTACCAGGTGTTATTGGCGAACTAGCAACATGACAAACCTCTAAAGTTCGTAAATGATCGAACTCATGATCTAAATGATGTTTGTACTTCATTTGAGATTCACGTATCTCGATCCACTTATCTTTAATAAAGTTCTTGCGAGGATCAATGTACCAAACACCTTTTGCACCTCCGATTCTTCCTTGAATTGCGGAAGGGGTTTCTTGACATCCCAAAATTTCACCAACTTCCTTCATAGCGGCCAAAGATATTGCAGCGCAACCATCTGTGAAACAATGACCATCGATTATAATATCTTCAACATAACGAATTTCTTTTGGTTCAAAGATAATTGACGCAGTAGTATTGGAAAATCCTAAGGATATCCGAGAATAGAACTTTGTCACCGTCATGTTTTTGTTAAGCTCCATTGGTAAGTTACAATTAATCACTTGCCAAATCGAAAGGTCAGGAAGGTCCGACCCGCTCGTTGCAAAATAATACAAAGTATCAGATTTAGCATATAAAAATTCATACACTCTTCCTGCTAATGATAGAGGAAATAACAAGAGGTGTTTCAAACTTGATTTTTGCTCATCACTCAAGTTTTCGATGTCATTAATCTTCAAATGAAAGAATCTTTCGGATGACAATAATCTATAATACCTTTTGGAGACACCAACTTTTGGTGGATTTAATGTTAAACATAACTTATTCCCATTGAGTGTCACATTCCCTGAATATAAAACGTGAAGTCTAGGTCCAATTGATGGAAATTCTTTTAAGCTCAAAGTCCAAATATTAGCGAGACTTTGACTAATTAATTTTGCCATTTCAAGATAAATGTTCACATTTGAAAGCTTTGAAAGGTAATCCCTGCAAGCTTCACGTAAAACTTTATGAATTTCTACACCGGATCTAACTTGAATCTTATTCCAAAGACTATATGAGGGTTCAATTGGCCCAAAAGGTTTTAAAATTCGAATGATTTCATGTCTATCCAAAAATGGAATTCCTTCAACGTAATGTTCAAATTCTTCCGGCATCTTTGTTGTAGAATGATTTTGCGTAATCCAAGGATCTTCAAAAGTAGATGAAGCTCTTGATAACGATAACGAAGGTGATGAAGGTGAGGGTAGAAATGTTTCATCTGCTTGATTAAGCGAACTTTCCCATTCTTCATCTTCATCACTATATCCTGGTATGTTGACAGAAACCCTGATTAATTCTTCCGTAAAGAGCTCACGTAATTGTATAATGTTTTTGGAAGTTTCATTAATCTTATTGTGCGTTATAAAACGACGGACTGTAACGTCAAGTAAATCCGGATCAGCTTTTGCGATTTCATTCATGTAAATCCGTTGGTCGTTTGTTATAAATATATCATTTGGGTTACGGCCCGGGACGCTCCTTGTAACCTTCTCAAGGCGACGTGCATATGATAGAACAATTTTGTGAATATCCTCCGGTTCGCTAAAGGGGTTTATAGAAGATGAAGAGGAATCGTTGCTCATTTTTTTACTTTTTTTTTTTTTTTTTTTTATTTTTTCATGAAAAAGATAAAGGTTCACAACAACAAAAGAAAATTAAAGTTTTTGATTTTTTGGTCATTGGTCATATATATATATAAAATTCATGATAAAGTATGATTCGAGTATTGATTTACATTGTACTTTTTTATACACCATCACAAATCAAAAAAGGTAATCTTTATTTTGAACAAAAACAAAATAACAAACAAGTTTAATCAAGTTAAAAACAAGCTTAAACGATGATTATTAAAGCTTATTTTTTTTAAAGGTAACCTTACTCGAGCAGCCAATCTGATTAATTTTTAACTCCGATCACCATTTTAAAATATGATCCAAATTCTATTTTAATTAAAGTTACCATTCGGATCAAGTAAAGATAATAAAGGAAACTTGTATTACAATGATATATTATCTTTGTCCTGAACATCTTTGCCATAATTTTCCAACAATTGAATGAGTATGTATTAGGGATAGGCGTTATTAACCCTGGTTAATTAACCACCGTTAATTAACCAAAAGGATAATTAACTAAAGGTATTTTTAGTTGACCAATCAAAACAAAAGGAAACTTTTTAGATTGGCAAAAAAATTTCATTTTTTTTTGGTTAATCTCTTAATGACGTAACGCTTGCCGGGTGAAATTTTTTACGTTATCATGTGACAATGTTACCTTCTGATTTTTAAATCCAAAAATTTTTTTTATGCAAGCATCCAACAATATATTAGAACCTCAACAAAAGAAAGTATGGAAAATTCGGGTGAATGTACCAAAAATAATACAACAAACGTTGAACATCAGGTTCATAACAAGGCTATGAACGATGTAACCGTCGATTATGAAAACGACGAAGATAGCAGCGAGAACGAAGAGGAGTTAAATTTGTTATTGAAAAAGGCTAAAGAATCTCTACAAGCAAATCAAAGTATAATAAATAAAAAGTGATTGTCGTTTGAATTTGTATTATGGTATTAATATTTTCATGATTAACCATGTTTCGATATATATATGATATATTAGTACAAATAAAGAAATGCGGGACAAGTTTAGGTAATTTTTTTACTTTCAAATCGTCGATATTATAATTACAGAACTAATTTTTTATTTTTTTGTAGCTTTCCAAGTTTGAATGTCGGTATTTCAATTGATGAGCAATTGTATATAAGGAAACATCCTAGTGGTATTGTTACACTTCGACAGGATGAAATCTTTCATGATAATTCGTCACAGAAGAAACAATCGAATTCCAACAAAACTGTATCAATTTCCGATGATGATCAAGACTCATCTGTAAAACTTAGTAAAAAAGAAAGACAAAAGGTATGTTGAGGGGAAAGTGAAAATTAAAAGGATTGAAAATGATGATAAGTCTAATAATTTTAGAGCAGTTAAATGACTTCGTGTTGAAGTTTCATTCTGTAATGTTAAATTTTTTATTAATAGTCATAGTTACACTGATTTAATTCGAAATTTCCTTAATAATTCGAACGAAAAAAAAAATAAATATGTTTATATTTATATTAATTATTAATTTACCTATGATAGTTACGGGAATCAACAATTGGGCCAGGATGGTTTGATATGAAGAAGCCTGAAATCACACCTGAGATAAAGCGTGATCTTCAAATTATAAAATTAAGGAATGTCTTGGATCCAAAAAGATTTTATAAAAAGGATAATTCAAAAGGACTACCAAAATATTTCGAGGTAATTTTTTTCTTATAATAATATCAAGTCTTATTTATGAAATAATATTCAATTTTTTCGTCTATTGAATAGATTGGTACGATAAAAGAAGGGCCAACAGAGTTTTTTTCTTCTAGAATTCCTCGAAAGGAACGAAAGCAAACCATAGCAGATGAATTGCTTGCAGACCAAAAATCTAAGAGCTATTTTAAGAGAAAGTTTTCCGAAATTCAAGAGGTGATTAACCCATTTGTTCTTATTTGATATTATAATTTGTGACTTTTATAAATAATTGACTATTATATATTATAGGTTAAACAAAGTGGTGGCAAAAAATACTACAAGCAACTCAAGAAGAAAAGACAACCTAAATGGGAAAAAGGATTAACGAAATGAGGTTGAAATTCAATGCACTGTTAAGAATAATTTTTACCCACCTATAATAAAATGTTATGTGAGAAAATCGTTTTATTTAACCAAAATTTCTTGTACAAATTTATTTCAATTTTTTTCTTTGTCTACAATTTACGTTAATTTTAATTTTAATAAAAATTATTAATCGATAATAGTAAACTTTATTTTTCAATATAGGTACAATAAATAATTTATCTTTTATAAAATTATTCTTACAAATAAATAAACCTTTGTTGATCTATATAAATTTAAATAAATAAATAATAATAGTAAACTACTACTCACAATGCTTAATCAAATCTCATTACAATGAAAAGTTTAATCATTTACAACTATCCATTCTTTCTTTTCAACATCACTATTACTACCTCCATTGTTATTTTTATCATTATTTTCATTTTCACTATCTTCAACAAGATTTTTACTCTTATTACTACTAGTGTCAGATGACAAATTTGATTTTATACTAATATTAGAAGAAACATTTTTTATTTCCTTTACTTTATAATCACTGAATTCTTCTAAAAATTCGCGTAATTTGTCTCCTACAAATTCCCATCCATGTGCATTATTATGTGCAGCATGTAATGATTGCAAATACCATATTTTAACATCATGTTGCGTATACAATGTACCTTCTCTTACAAATTTCATAAATGTTGGTTCAATTTTTCGATGTTTAATTTGTCTTGAATCTATAATCTCTTGAAATAATGTGACGGAATGAGATAAAGGTATATCATCATCTTTATGAGAGTGAATTATTAATATTGGTATATCATTTAGATGCTGTAAAGATATTTGAAAAATGTAAATAAATAGATTTCATATAACTTAAAAACAATGCACTCGACTGAAATTATTGGTATATACCTTCATATGTTCCATATTGTTAAATCGATGTTCCATTTTCTCCTTAAAATAATCTAAGAAAGGAGAAAAGGCTTTTTATTAATCTTTTACGAAAAAGAAATAAAAAAATTTACTACACAACTTACCTATAACAGCCGGCCATTTAGTGAAGGGTCTTAAAAAAGGTAATCTTCGAAAAGAAGCGATCAACTCAGGGATACATGTGAATGGAGATTCGAGAATAATTGCAAGTGGCGTATTTCCTGCGTTAAAATAAATCTTATATAAATAACGTATAGTTGAAACAATGTTTCAAGTTGCAACGTACCTTCATCACTAAGTTGGCGAGCCAATCTGATCGCAACCCCAGTACCTTAATTTAATATAAGTTAAGCAGCGTTCATCTTAATTGAAATTCTTAAATTCTTTAACGTAATTGTATATTTTTTTATGACTTACCCAACGAATGTCCATATATAATAATCTTTTTGGCAGGGGCACGTTCTAAAATCCAATCCCAAGCTGCTCTCGCATCAATAAGAAGACAATCTTCGGTTGGAAAGCCCTCTGTAAAAGTTAAGTAATGTTTTTCAAAAAAAAATTTTATAAAATTTCTAATCTAACTTGGGATGCTTTACCAGAATCACCAAACCCTCGATAATCAATTGTCACAACATCCGCGGTTGGAAGTGCGATTTGAAGCGACTAAAGTATAAAGGTTATTTTTCATTATTGATTTCGGAATTTACTTACAAAGTTTCCGATTTGTAAATGTTAGTTACCTTATAAGTTAAAACCCTATTTTCTTTACCACGGTTTCCTGAATTGGATATATATATAAAAAAAATATTAGAATTATCACTGCAACAATACCTTTATAAATCAAACTGCCGAATTTTACCTAATTGACCATGGAAATATAGGATGATCAATTCCGAAGACTTCAAATTCTGTTCAAATAATGTTTCAGATTGATCATCTTTCTCTATCTCGAATGCGTGAAATGATGATATAAGTTTTTTTATACTTTGTCTCGAAAGTATATGCCAACCGCCTATATAAATTATTTGAATTTAAAGTAATACTACTATGTAATTAGAAAGATTATACAAATTTAAAATTACGTACCAAGCTTTACATTATCACGAGTTCTAACCCAAATATGACGCGTCGAAAATGCTATATGAAGGGAAGACAGTGTTGGAAAAATTCACATAACAAGTACAAATAATTCAAATTGAGCTTATTTTGCTAACCCTGAAGACCGAAACATTCGGGTTGGTCCAATTGGTCACTACTTGGGTAATTGAGCCAATGAAGAAATACAAGGTAGCTTTGAAACGTGGGGGATAAAACGAACAAAACAAGGCATATCTAACAGAAAAGAAAGTAAAGAAAGTTCAGTTTCAGATGTAACAAAATCAAATCAATAAAACTATTCTAACGTTACCGTATATATAAGTAACAAGATAAATAAGAGCACGACAGCTGTGGTTATCAAAGCTGAAAATAAATGAAATAACATTAAATTTATTGATAAAAGTTTCGCTAAATTTAAAAGGGTTCGAAATTCAATTAATCAACATGTGCGGTACGCGAATTTTAAATCTTAATTTTTTATAAAATTATGCATAAACCTGCAAAAACGTGAACAGCGTGTTTACATAAGCAGTTGAGAGAATTTCCAGCGCTTTCTTTTTTAACCTTTTTTTTTTTCTTTTCTATTTGAATAGTTTATTAAAAATTTGAAGGTAGATAATATGGTAGATAATTCTCCCTTAAAAATAATATCTGAAGAAATATCTATATCTTTAGCTAATAATGACAGCGATAATAATTCTAGTAATGTTAGAAATCTAGAAGTTACCGAGAATTTAACGGGACCTAATATTTGTAAGATCAATTCAACCATCAGATCTGAACTTGACAACACAGAAGAAGAAGATTCGACTTTAAAACGTAATGAATGGTTTTGGGATACAAATTCGGAGCTGATCTTTGCACAGGACGGTAAAACAATAATAGCAGTGGGTCATGCTTCCGTTAAATCAATAGTCCCACTTGAACTTTTACGTCATATATACCTTCCTCAGCAACCACATGATCGTATATTTGATCCGACAACAAGAACCATTTCATATCTTCAACCACGATCATATCTACCTGTTAAATCGTTACAACAAGACGAAAAGAAACGAATTCTAGTAACTGGGGGTGCTGGTTTCGTTGGATCTCATTTGGTTGATAGATTGATGTTAATGGGACATGAAGTTATTGTACTTGATAATTTTTTTACCGGACGTAAAAATAATCTTGCCCACTGGATTAGTCATCCCAACTTCGAGTTAATTCGTCATGACGTGGTTGATCCTTTTTTAATTGAAGTAGATCAAATTTATCATTTGGCTTGTCCTGCATCACCACCTCATTATCAATATAACCCTATTAAAACTGTAAAGACTAGTGTAATGGGCACGATCAATATGTTGGGTCTCGCCAAACGCGTCAAAGCTCGATTTTTGTTAACCTCTACATCAGGCATGTATTATTATTATTATTATTATTATTCTTTTTTGAATTATGATTTCTATATTTATATTTCAACTCGTTCTCCGTTTATTATGGATGCTATACAACTTTTGAAATCTTCTCATTGAAATTGATATAAAATCTGGTAGAAGTGTACGGTGATCCTGAAGAACACCCTCAAGCAGAAACATATTGGGGCCACGTCAATCCAATCGGACCAAGAGCATGCTATGACGAAGGAAAACGAGTTGCAGAGACTTTAACATATGCTTACATGCATCAAGACAATGTTGATGTTAGAGTTGCTCGTATTTTTAACACTTTCGGTCCTCGTATGAACGAAAACGATGGTCGCGTAGTCAGTAATTTCATCATGCAAGCTCTTAAAGGAGAGGAGCTCACCATTTATGGAGATGGTCTTCAAACGCGTTCTTTTCAGTACGTACATGACTTGGTAGATGGCATGATTTTATTGATGAATAGAGATTATATGGAACCTGTTAATTTGGGTAATCCAGATGAATATACAATACGTGAATTTGCTGAGCTTATCCGTAGTGAGGTTAATAGTTCCTGTAAGATCAAGTCTTTACCCGCACCAACAGATGATCCTAAAAAACGGAGACCTGATATTTCAAGAGCAGAACAAATTCTTGGATGGAAACCTAGATGGCCAGTAAAACAGGGTATAGGAGAAACTGTCAAATATTTTCAAAGGCAAATGGAGGCGGGTCTTATATAATAATTAATTAGGAGGGAATTTAATAAAAACTTATAGTATTGATTAATCTCTGGCAGATTTAGGTTTTTCTAATATAAATATAAATATAAATATTAAAAAAATAATGATCATGGTCGGACTGAGATTTATTCCTGCATGTAAGTTTGTTTATTTTATATTATAAATAAAAATTTAACATTTTATAAATAAATTATGCAATTTTTTTTAATCTTTTATAATCTTATTAGCAATAACAAATATTAAGAATATTATCATGCATGTTGAATTATTATTAAATCATATTCTAAAATTGCAGAAATAAAATTACAATAATGAATGAAATTAATTTTAAATTCTTTTGACTATGTAATTATCATTGATTTTGTTATTTCTTTTTTCCTATACAATATAAAAAAACTATCATAAGAATCATTATAATTAAAATGATTTATAAGAGAAAGAAAAAAAATATTCATATTACCAAAAGTTAGCCATTTCGGCAATTTTTTTGAAGTTTGGCTCGATGAACTTTCTCCGCGAACGTGTGATCGTTGTCCTCGAGCCATTCCTTCCTGATTTTGTTGACGCGAAGGTTCAGATAGAACATGAGCGCCTTCATCATTGGATGAGAAAGATTGTTCAGGAACGCTAGTTGAATTAGTAGTAAGATGCGGAATATCTTCTCCAAGTTTAAGATATTCATCTGATAAAATATGACCTGAATCTACTAAAACAAAATACACCTATTAGTTTGATCATCAACTAAATCTTCCAAGACCAATTTAAATATATTAATATCGAACCTGAAAATTTTTCTGTCCAACTAAAATATATAACTGAGGCAGGTGTCAATTCAGCATTATATAAAGATATAGACATATCTAAAAGTACATTTTTTGGAGGACTCGTGTCTGTATAATGAATTGAGTTAAAGAAGTTACAAATTCACAATTTGTATTTTAATAATGTATCATACATTTTAAAAATCATTCGTAATAAGAAGGAT